CTACGAAGGATAGTTTGTTGATTGGTAATACAGTATAAGTGTTAACTAACATGCTAAACACGGGCAATAGAATTATGGGTGATTCTTCTTTGTACTTTTCCTAATTTTGGTGTTTAGTATAATTTTTTTCAAGTTAATGTATAGTCACAAAGCTATTCTTTTTCACCTTTGTCTACATCTGTTTTCTAATTGTTGTTTTTAACATATAAATGTAATCTGTAAATGCCAGCCTTTGGCTCAGAACCTTTGTCTCTTACAGTTCAAGGTAACAGATGTTGAGTCCATCAGAATTCCCCTCACTCACAACTTCTGTAGTTGTTTCAGAATGTGTTGCTCACAGTGTTTTCCTAATCATCTATTAAAGCAGCATTTTCTCTCTTCTTTTTATAATTTCACAGCCTTAGACTTCTGGACAGAAAGATATACTGCAAATGTACCTCCCTCCTACAAAGCAGGCGTCAACTCCAATGAGAAAGTAGTTGGTTACTCCAGCAAACCATCAGGTCACTATTGCAGCAGTGGGCCTGCCTTGCTTGTCAGGTTGGTCATTTAACACATGGTTTTGAAACAGACAATCATCAATCCCTGTAAGAATCTGTTACACAGAGCTTTTAGATTGCTGAGCACAGGGACATGCTAGAATTTGCTCACACAGGAAGAAGATGAAGGTTTACACTTTACTTCAGACATTGCTCTGTGCACCTACTCACCTAACTATTCGTTTCCCTCTGTTTACTTAAACCAAGATATCATAGTAGACAGTACAATTTAACATATACAATAAATATGCATTTTAAAATAACCGTTAAGCATCAATCTAAACTTCCTCGGTCATCTTGGGCCCTATCATACGTGCTTTTAATATCCATATGTTATTTTCTGCTCTTAAACAAACAATGTGACAAGTTTTGTAATGAAATGTCTGACATAGCACCAAGAATGTCACTCCAGCCCTGGTTGAAGGTTTGAAGACAGACTGCAGGTGCCTGGGGAGCAGTGTGTGCCTGCTGCACAGAAGTAGATGGCTGAATCTCCAGGCTGAGTGGCTGTGATGTGCAAGGAAAGGTGTTTGACTTTCTTATTCAATAGAAGGGTGAGTCTTTGGCTCTGCTTCCTTTCCACATTTGAACGGATGTCAATGATGAACTGAGGCTGCTTCCCAGGCTCTTGTTTATACCAAGGGAAGTAGACTGAGGCACTGTCTGTGTAAGTGCAGTTGATGACAGTGCTGTCTCCCTCCTGGACACTCACGGTGGAAGGATGCTGCTCCACCTTCTCGCCGTGGCTCCCCCCTATACAGAAAGATGGAAAGAAAGGAGAAAGGTTGTTAGGTTATTATGCTTTCTTGTTTTTTTTCTTATGATAAGAAGATAAAACATGAATAAAGCCATTCTTATGGATATTTAAAGTCCTCCCACTAACATTCTAATAGTACTCCACTCACAGTTCATCCAAAGGCAGAAAAGAATAAATAAAATATGAACTGCTGCCTTCATTGTGCTTCCTATGCAGATCTATTGTAGGTGCTCTGTCTTTACCCAGAAGCTTCTAGCAGGTTCCGTTTGACCCTTGTTGTTATAATCACACATGCTGAGTTATTTGCTCAGCCAATAAAAAAGGCCTATTCATTTGAAATTCACTAAGGTGGCCTTTCTGTGCATTATCTGAGGAACACTGCCACCCTGTGGTAAGATTTCTAACTGCAGAAATCTAGTGGGTTTTTTTTTTTTTTAAATCTTAGTCTAGGAAAGACTTTGAACTCAGCCCACAACCTAGCTGTGCTCACAGACTGTGCACCTGCTCAACCAGGTGAGTGCACTAGCTTCCTATTTATCCTCGTGAGTATCACATTTTCATACCTAGCTGGGTCATATAACCTGTGAACCAACCTAACCAGGTGAGTGAGTGTTCCAGATCCCACTATCCACTCAATCTGAATGTTCCCAGGCCTACCACCTGTGACTACACCTCTTGTCCACCATCCCAGCCAGTCGAGAGCCCAGAATCCATCTACTCACATCTTCTCCACACTTCAGAAGGCCTATTTTGAGTCTTGCAGTCATCATACCAACCCAGACATGTAAGTGTCCCAGAACCTCAGTGTGTCATCCACACAGTCCCTGGCATAGCTGGGCTTAAACAGCTTTTCATCAGCACACAGACATACACCGGAGCCATATCAACACACTTTTTTGATAACTAATTGTTGAAATAGGTGCAGTGGGGCTGCGTCCCCAGTACCCCAGCCGCCTGGCTAGCTTATGCCCGAAATAACAACACACAAACTGTATTCTTTTAAACACTGCTTGCCCATTATCTCCAGCCTCTTCTCAGCTAACTCTCGCACCTGGACTAGCCCATTTCTAATAATCTGTGTAAGCACCCCAAGGTGCGCTTACCAGGAAGATTCTAGCCTACGTCCATCCTGGGTCGGAGCTGCCTGGGAGAGCGGAGCCTGGCATCTCTGCTCCAGAGAGCCGAGCTATCTTGTCTCTGTCTGAGGAGTCTTACCTCACTTCCTCTTCCTCCTGTTTACTCCTCCCACCTATGTTTTAACCTATCAGGGCAAGCAGTTTATTTAATTAACCAATGAAATCAACAGATTGATATATGACACTCCCACATCAACTAATGAATTAGAATCACTCTCATCCTGCCATTTATAATGAATATATTGGGGCTGGAGAGATGGCTCAGTGGTTAAGAGCATTGCCTGCTCTTCCAAAGCTCCTGAGTTCAATTCCCAGCAACCACATGGTGGCTCACAACTATCTGTAAAGAGGTCTGGTGCCCTCTTCTGGCCGTTAGGCATACACACAGACAGAATATTGTATACATAATAAATAAATAAATATTTAAAAAAATAATAATGAATATATCTGTCTGGAGAGCTGGCCTACCAACTACCTACTGACCTACCAACTCTTCACACATGATCTGAAACCAACCAAGCTTGAACAACAGCAAAAACAGAAACAAAATTCTACTCCACAGAGGCAGGCTACAATATCAGACACAATGAAAGAAGTCTATATGCCTAGATCATATCACAAACACACAAACATCATGAAAGGCCAAGATAATCCCACCCCTCACAAAACACACAAATTCTATGAAAATGTTGTCCAATGAGATCTACCTAGATTAATCCTAGAACACAGAATTGAAAAGAATTATCATAAACATGATGATCTAATTAGAGGGACTTAGAGAGGACAATGATATTTGAAGAATCAGGATTTAAACAGCAGAGGGAAGATTAAGAAAACAAAAATATAGAGCTGAGAAAATAACTAACAGAATTCATGATTGGAAAACTTTATGTAATAAAGAAAGAAAATACTGAACCAAACTTAAGCTGAAATAAAGATCAACAGCACATTTGCCAAAGTCAGGTGAAAGGCTTATAAACAGAATGAAGTAAAGCATAAATACTAGGATGTGAAAATAGAGAAAGTGCACCAGATAATCAAAGTCATGTTAAAAAATGAGGAAACTTTGAGACACTATAACAAGACTAAATACACAAATTATAAACATAGAAAAAGAATAGGAACTCCAAGTCGATAACATAGGATATATGCTCAATAGTGTTACAGCAGAAAACTTCCCTCAAATTCCAGAAAGATGCACCCACTCAAATGTGATGATTGAAAAATATTTCATGACATAAACAGCCTAACAGAATTTTATACGCAACAAACCAGACCTAAGAAAAATAGAAGAACCAATATTTAAAACTGAGTAGAAATAAGGATAGCAGAGAGACTGAGAGAAGAAATACAAAAGTCATAAGTATAAAAACACAAAATACTACTGTGCACACAAACAACAACAACCCAATGACCACAGCTAATATACTCTTCAACAACACTGAAAAGCAAGTCTTTAATCTCCAATTAAAAGACACAGACTGAGAAATAGGTCAAGAAACAAAATCTCCCTAAATACTTCCTTTAATAAACACTTTTCTATTTCAAAGATAGGAACCATCTTAGAGGAACATGATAGAGAGTGGTGCTTCAAGAAAATGGGAATACAAAGAAACTAGACATCACTATCCTAATAACCAAAAAAATTGACTTTCAATTAAAGGGATAGAGATGCTTCATTTTAATAAAGGGAACATTTAATCAAGAAGACAGTAATATCCTAAGCATAGTTTACCAAACTTAGGGGCACCCAATTTCTTATTAAATCTAATATTGGACTTAAAGACACAGATTAATATCTATCCATTAATAATTAGTGTTTTACTTCAATATTCCATTCTCTCACATAAACAGGTAATCTGAACAAAGAATAAACAGAGAAATACCAGAAGTAATTGACATCATACGTAATATGGACTTAAAAAGATATCTATAGGATATTCTATTGAAACTCCAAACAATACACATTCTACTCATCAGCTTTTCTAAAATATTTCACAAACTCAGACACAAAATAAGAACAAAAAATAAGAAGCCTGAGCTAATAGGTTCAACAGGATTTTAATTAATAAAGTTTCTGTGTAATTATTCTGGTCTGGGTGGCTAGGAAATGAGTGAGCAGTCTCTGGTTAAACAAATATTTGTAAATATAAAAGATTTCAATCACTCCTTGTAGCCTATCTGATCAAAGTGCAATAAAACTTAAAAACAGTGAATGAGTTAAAGAAAAAATCAAGAAAGAAGTAAAAAAAACTCAATAAAAATATTGCAAACAAAATAAAGACACACAGCGGAAAGAATATATCACATTACAAATTAGACTTTATCCAGGTATGTAGGGATGGTTTGTCATATGAAAGTCAATAAATAAATATAACAAATCACATAAATAAATTTAAAGACAAAATTTACATGGTTGCAGAAAAGGTCATTGCTAAAATCCAGCATAACTTCATGATAAATATCATAGAGGACATAGGTCTAGAGGGAACATACTTAAGCATAATAAAAAGCTATATATAAGAAACCCATAGGTGGGCCATAATACTAAATTTAAAAAAAGCTTGAAGCAATATTACCAAAGTCAAGAGTAATACACAGATATGTACTATCTTTATTCCTTTTCAATGCTGTGCTCATGTACTATCAGGAACAAAAAGGTAAGAGAAGGTAATTAAAGAGGTAAAAAATAAGGAAAGCCGATATCCTTATATGCAGATAATATGACACTGTATATTAGAGATAAGAAAACTTCTAGTAATGATAAAAACAATTCAACAATGTGGCAGGATGCAGAATCAGCTTGTACAAATCAAAGCTGTTCTATTCACCAACAACAAACAGGCATAAAAGAAGATATTGGACTCGTTCCTGTTCATAGTATTTAAAAAAAAAACCTATGAATAAACCCAACCAAGAAAGTGAAAGATCTCTATGCTCAAAACTTTAAACCTTGGAAGAAAGATAGAAAAAAAATCTCTAGAAAGTAGAAAGATATTACATGCTCTTGTATAATCATGTATAATTATCATTGTTGAAATGATCATTCTACCAAACTATTTACAGATTCAATGCAATCTTAATCAAAATCCTCATCTGGTTCTTTAGAAAAAGAGAAAAAATCCAAAAATTTATATGGAACCACAGAACACCAAGTGTACCTAAAAAAACAATTCTGAATAGAAAGAACTAT